CTATCCACAATGCCACCGAAGCCGATGACGGTCTTTTACATCGTTCCGGTATGGTGTTCCCTCAGCCAATCAGAAGCCTACAAATGACACTGTTGGCAAAATTAATCCTGAAATAAAAATTCAGCGTTTTACTTAGTTTTTAACCTCTTTCAAAACAAGGGAATGTTCCCAGGTAAACAAAGGACTTGTAACATGTGTCCATAACAAGCCATCCTTAGTAGACTAACAATTAACAAAATACAGTACAAATAGACTATCATCAGTTGACACAACTCAGTTGAACCAAACAACTATTGAGCAAAGATTACACTGAAGATTTCACGATATGGGGGGAAATAGTCGTGATTTAATACTGATTATCTTACTTAAATGCCACCCATTAAAACTAAATCCCTATGTACTGAAGCAATTTATTGTTAGCAAAGTTTAATTTATCTATGAAATAAATATTTTAAAACATTATATTTATTTGAAGTAAATTATAATTAAAAAGAATTTTCAATCAGCTGTTTTTAATTTACCAACTGTCAACATGACTTCCATCCAAAGATATTACTATGTAGTACTATGTAGTAAACGAGTAATTTTAGCATTGATTTTAAGTAATGCAATTAATCATCGTATTTTGTAACGGCACCAACGATTTCCTCCAAATTGTTAGAAATATCTTCGTTTTAGGCTGTCTCTGTTCTGCCAATGCCAGGCTCAAAAACGAATGCCAGGCTCTGTTCTGGGAATATTTGTTTTTCATTATAAACCTAATATTAAATATTGAAATTTTTTAAACATTAATCTTATGGACTGTCAAGTAGCTATGCCAGTGTTATGAAAATGTAAACAAATCGATTGTAAACATAAGCTGGTAACAAATCATCTACACTACAGTAGTAAATTAGGAAATGGCAGAATAAAGGAAAAGGACATTTCCATGAATACTATTGAAAATTGCTTATATAATATATTTGGAGAGTATAATGTATTACTTACCAAATGAACAATTACGTCTGTTCAAAAACGTTAAGTGTTTTAATGATTTTGAGAGACGATGAATTTCATACCATACAGTGGCTACAGTGAATTACCTTAAAGCTAACACGCATTGTAATTACGTGAACAATTTTGTTAATTTCCCGTTTTTTTTGCTCGCATCTACGACAGTGGCATTTTTGTAATGAAGTATGAAGTCAAACACTTTTGAGGGAAAGCTGTCCAAACCCAGGATGTGCCGGGGATTGAAACCGTCCCTCCCGCACCGAAGTCCGAAACGCTAACCACTAGGCTAGCAACACAACCAACTGTATGTTTTATACAGTAGGTCAATAACGGCATACTAGTTGACTTTCAAAGTCAAAGAAATAGATAGCTAGGGTACACAAACATATGACAACACCAAAACTCACCTTTTTGGGCGATAAATAGTGATTTTGTAAGTTGATTTGTATTGTGTATTTGTCAAAACGAAATCCGTTGAAATTTTTAAATGCTATAACGCATTATAATTACGTGAACAATCTTTAGATTTTTCCTTATTTTTTTATTACAGGGCGTGAAACGGTATACTAAATGGTATTATAGAATGGAATGTTAAAATAGTATAGAATGTTTTATTTTAGTGTAGAAGGAATAGATTGTAATACGTGTTACGTATATTTTAACGAGGGGCATAAACGGTACAGTTGTGCAACGGTATGCAGGTTCAAACACATATAGATCGACACAGAAACTAATATTTTCGGATAACTAAAACTTTCAAAGTTTGCCTAAAGCGGCAGCTCTGCCAGGACAATGTACAAAATGTAGAAATTGGTCAAATATTGCCTAAAACGTCAAGACACACTTTTAATAGAACATAATAAATTTATAATCAAATATAGCTGAAAGGCATGGTTGTTATCATACATATAAATAGCAAAATAAAAAAGTACATAAATATAGGGTAGATGCCTGAGTTTTACATAACTTTTTTTGTAATAATAGGAATAGTTATAATGGGTGTATTACTTTTATTCTTAATTGGTAGATAAATTATTATAATGTTACTTAACATTTATAAAATAACTTTGAAAGTTCATTTAGTCACAAATAACCCACAATATTACGCCACATACAGTGTGTTCTTCACACGGGGATATAACAAAAAAATAATATACAAGTATATTTAAATTGCAATCAGCTTACTAGTAAATAACTCCTTAAGAATAGCAGTAGTATATTAGTTCTCCAGGTCCTTAAAATGTGTTTTCGCAAAATAGTTTTTTAAGTCCTCAAAAAGTAAAAAGCGCCGTGACAGGATACACGAGTCCTCAAAATGACGTTTTCATAACTTAAAATGTACCTTTTGAGGTCCTGGTTCGGGGACTTCCAGGTCCCGAAAAGGTGGCGCGGCGAGGAGTTACGCCAAATAGTATAAGTCCTCAAAAAGTAAAAATCGTCGTGACAGGATATACAGAGTCCTCAAAATGTCGTTTTTGTGACTGAAAATAGACCTTTTGAGGACCTGACTCGGGGACTTGCAGGTCCCGAAAAGGTGGCGTAGCGAGCCGTTAGGTGCTTGAAAGGTGTCATACTTAAATCTATATATATATATATATATATATATATGTCCGTTAGCGCGATAACTCGAGCAAAAATGATCCAATTTTGATGAAATTTGGTACAAACGTGTAAACCTAAGTTTATTCGAACGAGTTCGCGAACCAGCATGATCGGACTATGGGAACAGGGGTTTATGGGGGCTTTTATGGGGTAAAAATGGGTTTTTCCTATTTTTGACCAAAAAAACATAAAATTTTGAAATTTCTTTCCAAACTATTTTGTAGAGCTTAAAAAAAACAAATAATTTAGTATATTGAAGCGTTATAATGCGCCTAATGGTTACGGAGAAAATTCCAAAAAATTGTTAATTTAAAATTCCCATGTTATTCTTATGGAGAATAAGTAAACCGTTGTAGTGTGCTTGTTTATTAACATATTTTGCCCAAATTTGGAAAATGTTTTTATTTCTTACTAACTATTAACATTTTACATTAAAAAACACTTTTACCCTCCCTGTTGCAGCAAACCAAAGTATGTGTTAAACTGATTCTATTTAAATAGGGAATAAATGTAATATTTTTAAGGAGACATTTTAGTCTAAATCCAATCAGGCAAATGGAAATTCGCTTAGTCTGCAGGTTTGCTGTGGCGGGGGTAGTTTTATGTTTAAGCCCCATGGGATGTTTGAAAGTGATATTAAATACATTTTTTATTTAAATATTATTCACTAAAATATATTACTGGAACATATTTTTTATATATATAATATATTTTAAATATTATATAAAATTGACATTAATACACACTTGAGATACCTATATAAAATAGATTTTAAATATATTTATTCATATGTATTTAATATATATTTGTGCTACTAGGGAATATACATGCATACATTACATTACATAAAGCTGGGTATACTGAACCTAATGACGACCCAATTCGCCTATTGGGTCTGACGATGATTGGAGTTTCTAATCGAAATTGACCACCACCTACCATCTTTTATGCATATATTCAGTCTTCTTGTGAGTCAATGGTATAAGTGTAAATATAGGTTTTAAGCGTTATTAGATGTATTTTCTTTTATTTACTTTCCATTAAATTAGTACAATATATCTAAAGGTTATCATGATTAAATAAGTAAGTAACTTAATTAGCCTACACATGCTCTTTGCCGACATTACAAAAGTTCACTCAGACGACTAACCAAATATATATTTATAAACCTTAAGAAACATACTAAAACAACACACCCCCACCGAAGAAGTTCTGCAGACTAAGCAAATGTTTATTTGACTGATTGGATTTTTACTTAAATGTTTCCTTAAATAACATTAACAAGTACTTAGATTTGTTGCTAAAGGGAACGTATTGAAGTGTTTTATTGTTTAATTTTTATCCCCTATGTGCAAAGTAAATCAATTTGCCAACTTTGTTCAGTATATATCCTTAAACCAGCAATCTGAAACAGTTTACTTAGGCTCGTTTTACATATACACTGCATGCCGTTATACTGATTTCCAGCCAACAACTGCAAGGGTCCACTGTTCACATTAACACTGACACCGGCACTCCAGCTTTTGCATGTGTAGAGATAGCAATGGTACATAATAAAGCAATATTGCAATGTTACCCTTGTATAGATTGTTGAAAAAAGAGGGAAGAATCGAGTGCTGGGTGCATCCTTTAAACGTGAAAAGAAACCAAGTTGGGGCTTTTATATTCTTATAAAAAAAAAATTAATTACAGTGAAAAATTCTTTTATTATTTTATGATGAGTATTGAAACTATAATATGTAAATATGTATGAAGATAAAGTGTGTATTCTTGAACTAAACTAATAAGTATTTCAAGATCTACTTCCAACATAATCAAAACTTAGCACACTACAGTACCAAATAACCAAAAGTTAAAACACATGGTTTAGGCGGACCACAGGTTCCGATTGTATGTGAACAATATCAATAGACCTCTACCCCTACTCCTCCAGCAGGCCCGTTTGGCATTTACCAGACACCAGCAGCCGGCCTTTGTCGAGGGAGTGCTCAGCATCCCTCGACAAGTCCATGACTGCCGGGTAGTGATTAACCGACCACGACACTAGTAATGCATATATGAATGGCCCAATATTCTTCTGCACCCAACTGCTAGTTAAACGACGCCCGACACATGACAGCTTGGTATATGTGAAACAGGTCTTAACTTTCCAAAAGAATACCAAGTGAATTTTCACCGTAGTATTTTTTAATGAGATAGTTTATTTATTTATCTCCCAACGGCAACCACCATTTTACATTGTGAGAAGCTATATCTTACAATATCGGTTTAATTTATCTAAAAATGTTCATACTAAAAAAATCTGTTATTTACATGACCACATTCTGTTGGTGGCCCAATTCAACTACGACCATTTTGTTTTCCAAACTGGCGACAACTTAAACATGGGGATGGAATCAACCCACCTTGAGCCTCAGTTTGTCTCTATCCTCTCGCACGCTACTCAGCACAGCCTGAGCTTGCCTCAGCTCTGCCTCAGTTTTACTCAGTTGTTCCTCAAGTGCAGAGTTTCTAGCTCGCAGTTCTTGTAGCTCCTCCTCAACGTGTGATTGACTATCACTTTTCATCTGTGATTCTTCTCTTGTCTATAAATAGATAGATAACAGTGCTTTATTTTACAACATATTTTACAAACTTACAAATTATATTTCATTTGACCGTCTGTCTGGTTGGCAAAGTCCACTTTCACTACATAATCACAAACAACACTGAACTGGTATAAAAGATAAGAAACATTAAAGTTCAAACTCACATTGGAGACTTGGTATTTAGTTCAATAGCATAGCATTTAGAATACAATAAAAAAAAGACTAATTTGCATTGTTTCAATAAAAAATCATACAAATTTTGCTTTTTAACTTAAATATATAAAAGTTGTATGTAAATTAATATAAATTAAATTTCCTATTGTAATAAACATGTTTCAAGTAAAAAAATTATAATTTTAAACATCTTGCAAAAAAAGAATAAACATTTTAAATAAATTTTTCAAAAGCAATGTTAAAAAATGTTGTGCAAATAATTTTTTTAACTATTTCTTGCTTTCATTCCTTTGCTTTATTCAATTCCCTACATAAATGGTTTTTATTTATAATTATATCTACAATAGTCTATGTTTTACAGCTATTTATGTTAAACACAAACACTGTCTCATCACCACTGTCGTTGTCCGATAGGCCTAGGCCTACGCCGGCGCCACCCGATTCGCCGTCACTTTCACTGTCATTTTCGCACAAAAGTCTGTTAATCTCACTCGAGAATATGCGATCAAATTAATTTGTATTCCGTCCATTTATAAAACATAATAATAAATCTGTTAGACCTACTAAGTTATAATGACTTATTTACACTGAAAGTACGAACACAAACAACTACATGAAATCTGTTGCACCATATAGCCAGCCATACAAATGAAAATAATATCCCTTGTCAATGTCTAATATTACAGGGAGAATAAGAAAACGACTCTATTGTAAAACTGTAGACTTATAACAAATACCTCCGCTGCAGCAAACCTGCAGACTAAGCGAATTTCAACTTGTCTGATTACATTTTTACTAAAATATTTCCATAAATAAGACATATTTATTCCTAATTTAAATAACACTAGATTTAAAGAGTGCTTAGGTTTGCTGCTACAGAGAAGGTAAAAAGTGTTTTTTGACCATATGTCAATAGTATAGGATGAAATAAATAAATTTGCCAAATTTTACCAACATCCTTAAATATAATTCTGTAAGACAAAATTTATACCAGAAAATTGTGGATGTCTGGTAAGTCGCAGAAAAGTGGGAGAGGTCTTAAATTAAAGGTCTTAACACCAGTGACTCGGGAAAAATAGCAGAATTCCCATAAAGTTACCAGAAAACGAGATATAACGTAAAATGTTCTCCATAAGAATAGCATTAGAAGCCATTTACTTCAGATTTTTGTTTACTTCAATACGTGATCTATCATTAAGCTAGTATGCAATATTAAAACTGGATTACTTATTTGCCAGTCAGTTCTGAAATGTGCTGTATATTATATAAAACCAGGGATAACGTTACCTATAATAATTAACCCTCCAAGTGTCTCTAGTTTTGGTCTTAATGTTCGCCCATTTATTGCACAATCGCTGGGTTTTATTAAAATGTATCTTAGAAACTTAAAAACAATGTAAAGTATACTGTTTCATATATCATTTTGTTTGGAAAATTATGGGCTTCAATGTAAGGTATAAAACATTACAAAAAAAATGTTCAACAATTTTTGTGGGGTTAACATTTCTAAAAAATTATAAAATAAATGAAAACATTTATGTTTGCGCTCAATAAATTGTTATAATTTATAGGTCTACAAATATTTTAAAATAGCCACTTTGTTCAGAATTTTATGAGGATTCCAAAAATATTATAATACTGGGTGGCGCATAAAGAACGCATGGATTTGAGTTGAGTGGTGAGAGCAATAGGAGCGTAGTGGAGGGACTGGGCCTGGTTGTTTTGTAGGTTAGGGTGTCCAGTTTTAGTAGCAATGGAGCAGTGGTCCGTGGTACATCGCATTTTTGCGGTAGAACATTTATTCAAAAGTAATTAAATCTGTTAAAACTGTTCAACGGCTTTTCTGCACAAAGTTCAATGTTCCGCGAGTCCTCAAAAAAGTACGGAAAGGCCCAATAATTTCCACTTTCGAAAGTTACACCAAACGTTAAGTTTCAAATCGTGCAGTGGTTTTTGATGCAATTCTTTTGGGTCTTCTGCTGCCAAATAGCGCCAGTTTTGCTTATTGACATAACTATCCAAATAAAACTGTGCTCCATCATTAACATCATAAACAAAACGCCATCAGTGGCAAGAACATCAACCATTCTCTCAAAACAGTTTCCATTTTTCGTAATCACGTTCATAAATCTTCTGTACGATCATAATTTTGTAAGGATGAAATTTTAACTCATCTTTAGGTTGCCCTGCAACGAGCGTCAAGACAAGCACACAGTTGGAGCGCATCGCCTAGTGTAGCGGCGAGGGCTTTGAATAACAGACGCCCTTACTCTGTCGACATTTTGTGGAGTTCGCGCCGTGCAAGGACGACCAAACCACTTCTGCTTCATAACTGATTCAGTTGTGCGAAAAGAAGCTACCCAACAAAGTATTGTGTTGCGATCGGGTTTTGTTTGGAACCATTGAACTGTGCACGGATAAGCCATTGAACAGTTATATCAGATTCATTATTTTTGAATAAATGTTCTACAGCAAAAACGCGATGCGCCAGGTCGATTGCACCATTGCTACTAAAACTGGACGCCCTAACCTACAAAACGACCAGGCCCTGTCCCTCCACGGACGCTCCTATTGCTCTCACCACTCAACTCAAATCCATGCGTTCTTTATGCGCCACCCAGTATAAGGAAGTAGGTTTGCAAATAAATAAGTTATGGGCAAAAAACAGATTTCGGTACATAGCGTTTAGCTAAGAATGCATAGCCTAACCATAGCTAGGAATCTGGCTGATAATTTAAATCAATATTACTACCTACTTCTTCAGGATCATCAACCAGCCCTTCAAAATCACTTAAATCTTCTTATAATGCACCACGTATATCACTACTTTTGATTTTTAACACTAAAACAATGATAAACGTAATAAGACACATCAGTCATCGGTGCGAGGTTAACCAAGCTGTTTACAAATACGCACGTCAGCTGTCTGCTACAATATTTTCGGAACTGAAATGAAAAGCGTATAGAAACAGACATCAGGAGAAAGCTCTGAATCTGCTGAAAAAAACGATACCTAACTCGATCCAGTTCAATCCGATTCAGTCAGTCCCAGAGCCGTCACCGTAAACAGTGTTTGTGAGTCGCAAAAGCGACACATAACACTATAGCGGATGTGTTATGAGTCGCTTTTACGACACATAACACTCGGAGGGTTAAGACTATTTAGTTACGTTCTTTATTTGAAGTTCATTGTTGGTGATGGTGAGTTAATGTTGTTCAAAGGTTTATTGCGAACATTTTCCATCACGAATGTAAAAAACAATACACAATTTCTGACTACTACCCTCTGTAGTGTATTCCAACTTAGGTTGGGCATTTGTGTATTGTTAGTTGTAATGTGTTAGTAAAGTTTTTTCACCTGAGGACGGGATCAGATTCCAGATCCCGAAACGTTGTGTATTGTTTTTTACATTCATGATGGAAAATGTCCGCAATTTAGTTACGTCTTAGAATGTTGAAATAAATTATGTTACTGTGAAACTTAATAAATATATCTATTTTTATATAAATTAGTTAAAGTAAAAGTTTGTAATAAGTAGAAGAATCAAGTAGTTCAAGATTAAATGGACAACTTCTGCTTTGTTTTGATTTCTCCCCTTTCTTTGTAAATTTACTAGAATTTTAAATTTGAGATTTATTGTAGTGTTTAATCAATATTATGTATGAAGTGGAATAACCTCAACGGCTACGCTTGGGAAATAACCTGGGAATAAAGATGGAATAGGTTTGTACAGGAAATATATTTGTTAATTAAGTAAGTACTATGGCAAGTTCCAATAAACAGAAAACAATATTTTTGGAGATTTTAAACAGGCACTATCTGTTTTACTAAGCAAAAATAGTCGAGGCGCTGAGGGGTTTGAGCATGCATAAAAGTGTAACGAAATTTGACTTTTGATTGTTGCTATGGGTACCTAGTAGATGAAGAAAATCGATGTTGTCGCATTTCTAGGTGGTTAATAACATGGGGGGGAGGGGGTGAAGTTGGGGGGCCACCCGGGGGGCCGCCGCGCACAAAATAGCTTATATCTCAAGAACCAAAAGTCATATGAATACGTTAGACATGTCAAACTGTGCAGAAAAATTCTTACCAAAGTTCTTTGCATCCCTGAATTTGAATCTTCATACTAGGAATTAGATTTTGGAAACAAATTCAAATTCAGGGATGCAAAGAACTTTGGTTTATCACGGGAACTTCTAATAAAAAAAGAGCTTTAGGATGTCATCTTGCTTCAGAAAGTCTTGGATCCAAAATTTCAGAAGTTTTACCAGCACTACATACATTCACAGGATGTGATACAACTAGTAAGCTATGTACAACAAAAGCAGCTTATCACTATGTGAAAAAGTGTTGTGATAGTATTGATACGCTTCAGTTATTAAAACAGCCAACACTTAGTAAAGAATCACTAGACTGCTTAGAGGCACTTTATTTACGACTCGCTAAGAAAAGAGGAAACACCTGTGACGAAAGCCGTTTTATCCATTTTTCTACAAGTGCATCTTGTATTAGTGATTTGGCTACATTGCCTGCAACCTCTGATAGCTTTCAGCTACACATACTACGTTGTACAGCTCAGCTACATGTTTGGGAGAATTCCTTAACCCCTTTTATCGAGCCTCAACCCTTGGAAGAGTTTGGTTACTTTAAAGACAAAACCCAGAAACTACGACCCAAACTTATGACATTGCCTCCATTACCAGAGAATTTGCTTAAACCATGTCACTGTAAGACTTGCTCGAGAAAATCATGTCCTTGTTTTTCCAAGCTGTCAGCTTGTTGCAGCTATTCCACGTGCCATGAAAGATGTAAAAATGTTTTT